TTAGAAATAAGATTGTCATCTGCATTTGAACATTGAAATGAAGCCTGCATCCCTTTCAGACGTCTTGCTACAGCCACCCAGAAAAAACAAGTCCGGACCATTATAAAGCTAACCCAAAGCCCATGAATATTAGTGTGGTAAGCTGTAGTACTCAATTTGCATATTTTAAATTTACTTTGCATTTTGCAATGTTGAATTATCAATATTCATCTTCTGTTCAAAGTTATTCAATTATGGATCTTGATTTTTCTTGCAATTGTATTTAAAGTGTTATCAAACAATTAATCAAATTTCAATTCCACTAGAATATAATGGTGCGATTTGAAACCATGCTCTCCAGAGGATTAGCTTGCAGCTCTCGATTATAAATGCAGTGCCAATAGCACTACATTATTGATTCAGATGAAATGAGATGATGAAATAGTAGTAATGTCACCAGACTGGCAACACAGAGCCACAGGCTAAGATTCTGGGGATATCGGTTGGAATCCCTCTACGGTTGATGATAAAATCAGTATCTCTATGTTGAGCACCACTTGGAGGAAAGTCTGATAGGGGCAAGGGCACATAATGTACTTTGAGTGGGAGGTCTTTAATATCCATCACTGTTACGAACTGAGCTCACCAAATCCTAAATGTCAAAGCTGTTAGACAGGGTTTAGAACATAAGAACATAAGAAACAGGAGTTAGCCATTCAGTCCCTCAACAGCCCTCAGCTCATCAATATTTGAAAAAATCTATCTCCTTCATTCTTAGTACTTTCAGTGATTTAGTTTCCACGACCAGATATTCGTGACCCTACTTTAAATTCCAAGCCCAGCATGAAGGCCAAAGTTACATTTAAACACAAAATACTGCAGATGCTGAAAATCTGAAACAAATGTAGAATGTGGGGGGAGAAATTCAGCAGGTCTGGCAGCATCAGTGTAGAGAGAAACAGATTAACATTTCAAGCGTGGTGTGACTCTTCTTCAGGAGAGAAAGAAGCTGGAAAATGGTGGTTTTTATAATTTTGACAAAGGCACAGGAGGAGCAGAGGGAAGAATTGATGTGTTCTGTGTTTGTTCTGAAGTTTCATTTGCATTCTTAATTACTTGCTGCACCTATATGCTAACTGCTTGTGTTTCATGCACAAGACCAGCTCTCTCTGCGCTGCACTATCTTTGGAGTCTCCATTTAAATAGTAGCCTGCCTTTTGATTCTTCCCAGTAAAGTACGTGACCTCACACTTTCTTACATTTAACTCCATCAAACAAGTTTCTGTCCATTTATACAACCTATCTATATTCCCTTGTAGAATTCCTTATTCCTCATCACAATGTGTCCTTCTGCCTACCTTGGTATTATTGGCAAATTTGGATACATTACAGTCTGCCTCCTCCAAGTCATTAACATAGACAGTAAATGATGCAGGTCTTAGGACTGATCTTGTGGCACTCCACTGGTTATGTCTTTCCAACCTGGAAAAGACCCATGAATCCTAACTCTCTGACTTCTGTGTGTTAACATATCCTCAATCCATGCTAATATATTATCCCCAATACTGTGAGCTTATATCTTAAGAGTCACAGTGGGTCATAGATTCATACAGTAATGAAACAGACCCTGCGGTCCAACTCATCCATGCCAACCAGATATTCCAATCTGATCTAGTCCCATTTGCCAGCATTTGGCCTATTTCCCTTGAAACACTTCTTATTTATGTACCCATCCAGATGACTTTAAATGTTGTAGTTGTACCCACCTCCACTTCGCTGGCAGCTTGTTTCATACATGCAGCACCCACTGCGCGAAAATGTTAACCCTCAGGTCCTTTTAAATCTTTCTCCTCTCACCTTAAACCTCTGCTCTCTAGTTTTGGACTCCCTCACCCCAGGAAAAAGACCTTGGAATTTCCCCTTTTCCATGCCCCTTATGATTTTATGAACTTCCAAATGTCAACCCTAAGCCTCCAACGGTCTAGGGAAAAATGCCCCTTGCTATTCTATCTCTCCCCACAGCTCAAACTCTCCTGTCTTAACAACATCCTTGTAAATATTTTCTGCACACTCTCAAGTTTAACAACATCCTCCCAATAGAATGATGAACTTAGACACCAATTTCCCTTTAGGTTAATTCCTCCAGTAAAGTCTGACCTCCCTACCATTTAACTCCTGGCATGTTTTATTTCGAGGTTTGTCTGGCTGTCTGCACAAGGCTTCTAAGCAAATTAGAGGCTTTATTACTTATCATGCTGAGGAATTCAGGTACTACCAATTCATCTGCAATTCTATTTGCTATAGTGGTATTATTGCTGGACTGCTAATACGGAAACCCAGGTAATGTTCTGGGGATCTAGGTTTGAATCCCACCACAGCAGATGGTGGATTTGAATTCAATAAAAATCTGGCATGAAGACTGTCATGATGACCATGAATCCATTGCCGACTGTTGGAAAAACCCATCTGGTTCATTGATGTCCTTCACGGAGGGAAATTGCTACCCCTATCCGGTCTGGCCTACATATGACTTCAGACCCACAGCAATGTGGTTGACTCCTAACTGTACTCTGGGCAATTAGTGATGGGCAATTAATACTGGCCTAGCCATGCCCTCATCTCATGAATAATAAAAAAAACTGAATCTTTCAATGTAGGCTTTCCATCCTCGCAATTTTTCTTCAAAGTGTCCAATGACACCAAATTGTTCTGGCATTTGGTTCTGAATTTGAGAGGTTCACAACCAGGTCCTTTTACCATTCAAAACCTTCTTAAAATCAATATTATCTCCTGAGATTCTCCTCCTAACCAAATTGCAACAGTCTTTCATTAAGTTCTAAATCTGAATTTGGAATTTTTGTTCTTTTCTCTTCATCTGTGCCTGAAATCTCTTTCATGGTGAGTTCTGTAGGCAATCTTAAGCAATAACCTTTTACCAGGTACTGAAAATCTAAACACACTGCCTCAACTGGTTCTCCTTTATCAACTTGGCTTGCTATATCCTCAAAGAACTGTGGCAAATTTGTCAGACATGTTTGCCCTTTCACAAAACCGTTTTGAATCTGTTTTATCATGTTAAGATTTTCCAAATGTCATGTTGTTTATTCCTTAATAATGGGCCCCAGCATTTTCCCAACTGCAGATGTTCAGCTAACTGGTCTACAGTTTCCTGCTTACTGTCTCCCTTCCTCCTGAAGACTGGCAGTTTTCCAATCTGCTAAAACCTTTCCAGAATCCAGTGAGCTCTGGAATATTTCAGTCAATGCCTCCACTATTTCTGCAGCCATTTCCTTTAAAGCTCTTGGATGTAGGCCACCATTTCCAAGTATGTGGCAGGAAGTCAGTGAACCAAGAGGGAAAATTACATCTAACCTTGTCCTCACCAATCTATGTGTCTGTCTATGACAGTTTCAGTAAATAGTTATAGAGTCAAGATTTGTGACCAATGCACAGTTTTTGTGGAGATTATGTTTTGTATTCACATTGTGTCATATGGCACTATCCCCAGGATAAATGAGACAGATTTTGAACTGATCTAACAACTCAAAATTGGGCATCTATGAGGCAGAATGGGCCAAAGCAGCAGCAGAATCATTTTCCTATACAATATGCAAACTCATGGCCTCGCATATCACCCACTCTACCATTACCATTAGGCCAGGAGATCAAGCCTGGTTCAGCGAAGAGTGCAGGATAATATGCCAGAAGTAACACCATGCACACTTAAAAATGAAGTGTCAGACTGAAGATGCTACAAACATCAGATGTAGCATGTAATGGACAGCTCAACAGTGAAATTAGGAAACATTTCTCTGTGTTCAAAGATTTAAAAAGCTGGAACACTTTTCTGCAAATGGCAATTGATACTAGATTAATTATAAATAACAAACCTGAGATTAAAACATATTTGTTAACCAAAGGCATTGAGTAACAGGTGCCCTCAGGAACAGTGACCATAGCATTACCCTTGTACTCTTTCTTGAATAAGGTTATCACATTTGCCAATCTTCTCTTGGGAGGGCAATTAGCTAATTTAGCTACACATTTTGCACGTGAGCCCAACCGATGCCGGAGAATTGTTCATAGAGCAGTTCTGACCACTGCTGCTGCTGACACTACAGAGCAACTGGCCAATCTGATTGGTCAACTGACCTTTGAAGACACCTCCTCAAAGTGTGAGGCGGAAGTCTTAACTCCCAGCAACCAAATGGTCTTGGGAATGCAGTAATCATTGAACATCCACACTCTTCTAATGCTTCAGATGGTGAGAAAGAAAAACCTGCCATCTGAAAAATCTTGAGACATTGTATTTCCAAGGTAAATGCTGTGTGGGAATTGCAGGTGGTGGTGCTCCCAAGGAACTTCTGTCCTTGTTCATTTGGAAGGTACTTGTGATAGATTTGGAAGGTGCTATCAGAGGAGACTTGACAAGTCAATGGTCCACAATGTGTGTTGGTGGTGGAGGGAGTATTTGTTGAAGGCGTTGGACTGTTGTCAATTAAGCAGGCTGCTTTATCCCGAATGGTAACATGTTTCTTGAGTGCTAAGTTAGCTGCACACATCTAGGCAAGTGAAAAATGTTCCATTCATACCTTTCATTTGTGTCTTATGAGCAGGCTTTGAGGAGTCAGAAGTCACTACAGAATCCCAGCATCAGACCTGGTCTTGAAGGCGCAGTATTAAATGGCTGTTCAGTTCGGTTACTTGTCAATGTTAACCCGTCAGGACATGGAAGCTTTACAAATCAGACTTCCTTGCCTGACTTTTCCAACTAGCAATTCCATAAATTGATACTATTTGCTAAGAGGAAATCAGATCCATGTTGAATTTGTCCCCGAATTTTTTCCCTTGTTGATCACTGTTATGATGCTATGTACAATATAATTAATATTCCAAATGATCTTCAATTCTATTATTACGGTGTCATGCTGCCTAAATATAGCGTAAAAATGCAGCTTTATTTTACCTATATCATAAAATCCTTTTGTTAAAACTCTAAAATGTTATGAAGCAGTACTTACTTTCTTTGTTTTGTCCATTGCCTTTAAAATGGAAATATTCAAATCCTCCAGTGCAGCCAGTACATTCTCATACTCTCCTAAATGTTGAGAAAAGTACTCTGAAAAAGACACATTTTTTTCATTTAGACAACAAGCAGTACACTATTGCAATCCTTCCAGGCCTCACCTATGTACAAGAGTTACTTTACTCAGTTCTGTTTCCATTATAAATTACTTCAGAGAAAGCAGAACACATCAACCACAAAATAAATCATATTGTAGGGACACATTGGGGGAAGGCAATATTAAGTTACAAGTAAAAACAGAAAGAACTCCGGAGGCTGTAAATCAGAATTAAAAACAGAAATTACTGGAAAAGCTCAGCAGTCCTGGCAGCATCCGTGAACAGAAATCAGAGTTAACATTTCAGATCCTGTGACCTGCCTCAGAACTGGACCCAAAACATTAATTCTGATTTCTTTTCACAAATGCTGCCAGACCTGCTGAGTTTTTCCTGCAACTTCTGTTTCTGGTTAAGTTAAAAGTGTTTGCTGTGTGCAGTATAGAAGGTCCCATCATGTATTGCAAGATGTCTGGTGAATTCTGAAACTATGTTACAGGGAAACAGGGGCTTAAGAACTATAAATATGTGCTGCAAACTTTGTATAGTTGAGTTGGGCTCTCAGGCTACCAAGACTGATCTCTTGCATATGTTCAAGTAAAATCTTTTCTTACTTGAAGCCCACAGACTCAAGAGTGGTCTTTTCACCAAGAAATACATGGCTGCTCAATCATTTTATGAAGGTATCTGCATTGGAAATGTCTAGAGTTCAACTTATTCTGATGTTCCTTTGAATTATTTACGTAATTATGAAAAGGAAATGAGCGGGCAGCATGCTGTCAGTTGGATTTCTTATAATCTTTTAAAAATTAACAGCTAGAAATGAAACCTCTTCATTTACTAAATGGGTTAAATTAATTAAGATGCTGAGTTCCATATCTTTTTTAAATCCTCTGCTCAATGAAATTGGGAACTATTTCAGTCTCGTGACAACATCATAATCATTAGTGTTGACTATATGCTACTGCTACAAAATGTGATAAGAATGTATAGAAAGACTGACCAGCCTATTGCTTCCATGGAGTATAAATAAGCCACAATTCTCTGATTTGTGTGTTCATTGGCAATTGACTCTCCACCATTAGTCCAAGAAAGCCCGCCAGATAGCGAGTTGATCTAAGGCCCTACTTGGTTTACAGTGATAGAGGAAAATCACTAGTAAGTCTTACCAAAAAGAAGCTTTTGATTTAAGCAAGATATACTTTACTGCACAGTAGCAATCAAATCAAAATTACACTAGCAAGTTAGAGCAGTAACGTTAATAACATTATTGCAACATGCGAGCATTAAGTCTTGGCCTGGATGTTCTTAAGATGTTTTGTCTCTTCCTTACCCAATTCCTTACAACATCATCAGAATGGGTGGAGCTTAATACAGACTCCAACATTAACCTTTTGCGTTTACAACATCACCCCCAAACTGACTTTAACCATATCTAACATCAGAATTAACATTCATTCATTCACATATACAATTATTCTTATCATTAGCCCATCTCCCCAAGTCACTAACTTCACAATTTCAGGCAGTCTACAGTTTTTGCAATTCTTCCAGAAAGTGTTCTCTTTGGACATGGAAACTTGATGTGTTTTTGGCTTTGGGAAGGTTGGTCTTGATTATATTCTTTACCCTACATTTTATGTAAAGTCTCCCTATATTGGAGGGCTCCTTTCTTCTTGGATATCTTTTCCTGAGGGTATCATCCCTGCAAAACTAGATAGTTAGTCCATTACATTATCTAAAAGAACCTTAATCCCATGAAATCTTTTGCAGAGGAAGTCTTTGCTGCAGAAACAGGTAGTTGCACATAACAACATCTGGGGGATCTTTCATCTCTTTAATTTCCTTCTTGGAAGACAACTGCTCTTCTGAAACAGGTATTTTATTTTTTGTAGTATCCTGGATTTCTGGACTAAGCAATTTCTTCTTGCCATGTCCTGAATCTGTAGATGTTGGTTGTGCCACTTTTGTGGTGACTCTCATGAAATCATATGCAATCCATTTTCAATCAATAATAGGAACATCAAGAACAAGAGTAGGCTATACAGCACCTGGACCCTGTTCCACCATTCAGTGAGATAAAGTTAATCTGTTACCTAACTTCATATATCTCCATATACCATATACCTGGATTTTTCTGAAGAAGGGTCTCGGCCCGAAATGTCAGCTTTCCTGCTCCTCTGATGCTGCTTGGCCTGCTGTGTTCATCCAGCTCTACACCTTGTTATCCCATATACCTGCCTTTGGGTCATATCTCTAATAACTTTGTTTAAAAAAAAATCTATCTCAGATGTAAAATTAACACGTGATCCAGCATCCACTGCCATTTGTGGAAGAGAGCTCCAAACATCTACCACCCTCTGTCTATAGAAGTGCTTCCTAATATCTCACCTGAACACTTTGGTACTAATTCTCAGACTATACCCCGTAATTCTAGAATTCGTCCAAATATGATTACTTATTCTGTTTTTGTTTAACGATTTTTTTTTCTGCTTTTGGGTTTTAAAGGCTTTTGATTTTGCTGTATAGTACTGCACTTTTAATTAGCACCAGTACATTCCTTCTTCTATACACCAAGATGTCACTTCCCAATACAATCTCAAACTATTACGACTGATTAGGTTCTAGCTAACAATTGCTTCTGTGCTCCTCTTACCAAGTTTGAAACAAAAGGTTTTACTGTTTAGTGCTTATTCTCCTTTTTCAATCTCTCTGCGAGATTGTTTGACAGATCAGCAGCTGGCATTGTGAGAATAGTTCTTAAAGCCATACAGTCTTTAAATTTTTTAAATTATTTATTATTGCCCATGTGTCCACTGGAATTCTTACCATTGTTACCTTGTGATATTATGCAATGATACCCACTAATACTACCATGCAGTATGTGCTGTGATGCCAACCAATACCAACTTTTCAGCAATTTTTGTTTTTGGAATAGTTGACCTCTTTTCTTGACTGTGCCTTTGGCCTATTCATTTACAGTGGTAGAACAAACACTGTAGTAAGTTTTAGTGAGAAGAGGTTCTTGTCTTAAATAAGTCAAAATTTCTTGCATGAGAGCAATCAGGTATAGGTTATATAGTAAGTTAGTCATTTTCACTAAGAATATTGGGAGACCTATGAATATAGGTAATCACCCTACAATATCCTAGGATGCTCTGCCTGTTCTTCACCATGTCCTTATGATGCCATCAGATTGGGTGGGGATTAATGCAGTCTCCAACATTAACATTTTCAGAATCATTATATTATGCAACATATACCATGATTCTGTTTTATCAGGAGAGGAAAGTGTTGTTCAAAATCTCAGTTGATTTTGAGATACTTGGCTTTGTAGGTCAGCTGGAATGCTTTTATCCTGTTTCTTTTCAATTATAGTATCACTTGCTTCCTGGTTTCAGCAGAGACACCCTTTTTTTTATCTGCTATGCAGGAATGACAAGTGGTTTTCTCAGCTGTGAATCTTACAGCACACACATCTTCACCCATTAGCACACCCAAACCAGAACTAAATTTGCTTTATAACCCCTACTCTTGAAAGGGGAATACAAAAAATGCCTGCAGTTTATAACATAATCCATTGGAAATGACTTTCTGCTGAAAGGGGGAATGCGGTAGTTAGTCCTTTGTTATCTTGTTGTCACAGTCACAGTCCTGCTTGTTTAGATTTGCCTCCCTCTGAAGTTTTTTTTTTAAATTTAGCTTCCCTCAACCCCTTTGAATGTGAAATTCCAGCCATCTTCAGACAGTCACTGACTTTACATTCAGAACCATCTTCTGGTTTTATGTTCTATTTTAAAAAAACCGTAATTAAAAATTCAATATGTACATAAGTACTTAGGGTTTCTGACCAGTTGTTTAGACAATAGAGTCATTCACAACTTCTAGATGTCCCAAAGCAATTTACAGTCAATGACATACTTTGAAATACTGGCCATGTGATATAGGGAGTATAAAAACAACCACACATAATTTAGCATAATTTAGGACCAATTGTTATTCTCATGGATAGAAGGTAGAAGAAAAGTGACAAGTGGAATTATGACACTTGTGGGAGGGGTAGTTGCACTGTTGGTGGTGAAGGGACATTCCAATGGAAACAGCAGAAAAAGAAGTGGCAAGGTAAGTTTCCGAGATGTGTTCATAAAATTCTAAGTGGAAAGGAAAATACTGGATATACATAAGAAAAATATAAACACGAACTGTCAAAGCAAATTCACTATCCTTCAATAACAATGGGACCAGAAGTCATCACTCTATTGTGTTATAGCATTCTCTCCAACCATCTGTCTTCAAGGACAGCTCCAAAGTGCAAGAATAAAGAAACAAAGAAATGCATTTAAATCATGCTTTTCATGATCATCGGGTTTTTCTTTAATGTCTCAGAGCCAATGAAATAGTGCTTGAAATGATGATGTAGCTTTCCAGAAAATATTTAAAATGTGAATTCCAAAATTTTTATACCTAAAGAATGAATCAGCATAAGATTTCAGGGACCAAAGCCTTCCAACCAAGAATGCTTCAGAGATACCCAGCCATAATTCGCTTGGAGTATTTTGGAATGACCCTGGCAGTTGTCAAAACAGGATGTTAGGCCACGTAACTATGTATATACATCCCTCTTGAAAAGTACAGTCAAACTCTGCTGAGCCTAATCTGAGTTACAATTGCAAACATTTGTCATTGCCCAATTTTTTTTTTTGATTTGTTTTTAATTCATTCGGAAGGACACAAGTGCTCCCAGCAGAAACTGTCAGCTATGATTAGATCCCTTCACACTATTCTCACATCAAGGTAGGCAGCCTGAAATTCAACACAGCAGTCAGACAAGCTGCCTCTGGAAGTATGAGTGGCATTAACAGCATGCTGGATTATTTAGGTGAAAACAGAAGCAAAATGTTGCAGGTGCTGAAAACCTGAGATGAATAAACCTCAGAAAATTTTGCAATGCAGGAGGCATGCGGAATGACATCGCTGTTCAAAAAGTAACAAAGAAATTGTTTGAAGTTGATGAACGTTTGTCAGATCTTGTCTCTCCTCACTGCTACTATCTTGTTTTCATTCATTCACAAGACAGACATGGCCATTGTTATATTACATATCTTGTTGCCCTTAAGGTGGTTATGGAGCACATTCTTGACAACAAAATTGTTTTCTGTGTCACTTCTGTTCAGAATCAATCATATTTATGTGCAGCAAAAACAAATTACTGTGGATATTAAAGTCAGAACTTCTCATTCCATTACCTTTCTTGTCTTGGGATTATTTTTGTAATGTTATCTCCTTTCTTTGGAATTCCAAAATTTACTCCATAAGCCTTCTATTTCTGCTTGGAGGCAGACTTTACTTCTGTCTTTTTGTTGCCCATATTTTTCTCCATGCACCTCTAATCACTTGTTTATGAAGGTTTGTCTTTCACACTCTGTCGGTAATCACTTCCCAGTTGTTGTTTGACTGTTGTATCTTCTAAAAGCAGTAATGCTCTTAAATTGGTAAATTCATTTTTTTTCTTCAAAATTCCTTATTCTGGTTTTTGTGAAATTTTCTCTACATGGTGAGGGTCATGGGAATCTTAATCTGCACAGCCGCTACCTTAAGGTCTTTGCCAACACTGCCTGTCCGTGATACTGGTCTCGGGTGATTGAGGTAATTCACTGCCACCAATCCTACTTTGTCTATCTAACTATTAGTAGTAGATGATAGATCACTGATGAGCCTAAATAAAAGACAATCCTTAGACAGTACCTTCCAAACTCACCACCACTATCATCTAGAAGGAAAGGGCAACAGATACATGGGAAAACCACCATTCATAAGCCCCCCCTCCAAACCACTCACCATCCTGACTTGAAAACATATCACAATTCCTTCAGCGTTATTGAGTCAAAATCTTGTGCCTCCCTCCCAAAGCTAAATGGGCAGCATTGGTTCAAGAAGGCAGCTCACCACCGGCATCTCAAGGACATCTAAGAATGGGTAATAAATGCAGACCCAGCCAGTGGTGCCCACATCCAATGAATGAATACAAAAGGAGTTTATCTTACTTCTGAAAGTGGCTTATTGTATAATAATAATTAATAATAAATACAGTTTACAGTGCTAAGGACTGTCTGGGCTATTTAAAATATATTTGCTCTCTACAGAGGTTAATATAGATTTCCTTGTCTCTACCCAAAGACTGCATGTAATATCATCAGAATTAATGGAGCTAATGCAACTTCAACATTAACTCTTACGTTACTATAACTTTATTCACCCTAAGGCTTCTGTTCTGGGGTTGATTAGAATTGCATCTGGACATTTCGTATGCACCAAAGGAACCAAGTAAATAAATACGATTAGAACTTACTCATAATTTAAAGACTTCTATATAATAATTTTGTTCAGTCGTTTGTTGAACTGCTTGCCACATACCAAGTTTGTTCAAACATGCTTATGTTGACTGGGTCCTATGTGGTTCCATTGCTGCTAGTTTTCTTTTCTAATTGGCTCAGTTGAAAATGTGGAAAATATGATATCCACAGAAAGTGTTGTAGTCATTAATAATGGTCTGTGTATTAATTTTCATGAAACATTAATAAAAGCATAGCCCACAAACAAATTAAATTTGCATGAATGTTAATTATTGCCCCTTTCATATAGCTGATGGGCTACAAGTATTAGACCTGTCAGTAATATTAAAGCCAAGGGAATAAGAGAGAGTCACAGTATGAATATAAAAATGAATAAAAAAGAAACACAGAGTGATTACTGTTTTTGAGACTGGACGTGTTTCCCAGAGGTCCCAGAGGACAGTACTCGGAGCACTGCTCTCTTTGACACTGGAGAATTGATGAACCCCACAAACGTTTCAATCCTTACATAAACTTTTGTGTTTAGTTCAGCTGGAATGACATTGGCTCCTAACAAATAAATGTGATTCTTAGGATTCCCTCTTCAGTCTGAAGGGTGTCTTTTTAATGTAATATACATTGCGAGATGAGTGGGTTTGAACTATTCCATTTTGCACTGTGTTTACTTCATCAGATCATTAAATAAGGCACATTGTAAAACAGATGTCCAGCATTGGCCTGCCTGGTTTCCACCAGATTAACTAATTTTAATGTCTGTATGAATAAATTAAAATGATATAATTCACACTGGTAGCAGATTGAATGTCGATTGATTAAGTAAATGTTGTCAGGGCTGATAGTAAATTGTAGATTGAGCATATGGACATGGAGTTTGCCTACTGCCTGCATCAGAAGGAAGCAGATGTAAGTTATTCATGCATTTTGATATATATGTCTAATTTCAAGAGATATTCAATATTTTATGCAGTATTTTCAATGGTTCAACCCACCACTACAATAATGTGTGAGCCTAGATACTTTGGTCCATGTCTTTGAACTCACAGGCATCTAATGTGAGTATTGCCACTGAACCAAGGCTAACACTTACTTTTTCCTCAAAGCAGTGAATAATGCCAAACTCATTCATAGGAGTCACGTTATGGTAGAACAGAGTAAAGAACATTACCAAAGACATGTTCAAAGCTAGGCTTTTCTGCAAACTATTCAAGCTTTTTAAGCTAATGCTGAGAATTGGCATGGAGAGAAAATTGCGTTTCTCATTTAAATTAATGTATAAGCTCCACAGGCATCAGTATGAATCAAATAATTAGTTGGGCTACATAGTGTTGTGAAATTATGATCAGAAACCTGACAAATAGAAAAACATCACTTATGGACTGACAAAACAGAGGACATGTTAATCCACTGGAACACACACATAAATATTACATTACTGTATCCCCTCATTTACATCCAGTTGTCAAGAGCTTTTCCAAAGAAATTACAACACATAAACAACTCCATGAAGGTAGAATAGTTTGATTTTAGATTTAGTTCCAAGTTTTAGTTTAGAAAAACATATTTTAAATGATCATATTGTTAAGTGGGGAATGAAACATTTAATGTTACACATTATAAAAAGAACAGATACATTGTCTTAGAGATCTTTTCTTTTTCTGAATTTTACTTGCTGCTTTATTGAGCACAGCAAATGGTGAAATTATAGCACTTACCACATATTTCTTCAATGTTGAGATTGCTAAAATGGAAGTAAAAAAAAAAGACTTTTTTAAGTGATATTGCTGACCATGCTGCTTTATACATTTTTCCTACATAGGTCGTCTTTGATGCTGAAAAGAATTATCAAATATTTATGATATGGCACTGCATCTCATGAAGTATTGCCATATTTCGATTCAAAAAGCCCCCCGAGAGTGTATCTTTAAATATGTTAATAAATTAGATTGTATTAATTCAGTGACATTCTAATTTAAAAATTATTTTACAATTGGAGTTCTACTGGCACTTTTTCAATATAATTGCAAATAATATTAGAATATATCAATTATTTTAGATGGCATGGTAAAATTAGATAATTTTAGCCAAATGAGAAATAAATATGCAGGGTGAAAATGGTGAAGATGATCTCAAAAGTATTAAATCAGTTGTTTTGAAAAATTGCTTATGAATGTGGTGGATGATTTATTAAGATATATTATGATTCATTCAGTTAAAGCTGAACAAATTTATTGGTTCATTAAACTGTTGTATGGTCATGTCAGCTGTATGATGAAGCCTGTAAACTTAATTTTCCAAAATAAAATGTTCCATACTCAAGACGCAGTCTCTTGTGACACATACCTCTATTAAAATCATGCTGCGTTGCTGCAGTTTTCTACAATGGGAAAATTTTACAAGAACATGGAGACATTAAATTTGAATGTTTTCTGCTTAAATGCCACACCATTGCTTCACAGTTGCCCACTTGATCATTGAATAATTGATTGTCAAAAACAGTAATGAGAGCGACAATGATTGATGGTGATAAGAATAAACCAGGAAGGAATACAGTAGATTATAGAAGCAGTGTGACATTGTTCACTAGGTCTTCACCTGCAATTCCATTCAAAATTGGATGGTATAGGCAATAAATGTGCACTTGGTGCACCTACGTCTTCATTTACATGTTCCTGTTCTTGATCTTGAGGGAAACTTTGTTTTTTATCATTCTGCTCAATCTACACAATAGCAAGGTAACAGGGACTGGCTTATTTCCCTATTTCACTCCTCTGGAACCATTAGCCTGAAGGACCACCAGGACAGGGTTAGTGGTAGTTAATAGGATAGTAGCCAAAAACCTGTGTTTACTCCATTTGAAAAGACATACCACAATAATGGGCATCTCTCCCTCTACTAAGTTCCCAAATTTTACCTTTTTAAAGATACTAGCCAATCTAAGTTCTGAAAATGAATATCCTGGCATCTTTGATTTTCTTCTGCCACTTTTTGCAGATTTTCTGCTTGTGCTGTAGGAGTGGGTTCATTGCAGTTCTCTCTATGTTGAGGTTGGGCAGAGGGGTGGGTGTGGGGCAGACAGATTCAGGTGAAATGAGATTTAGAAATACAAAATACAAAGCAAAAGCTGAAAGCATCAGAATAATATCGCAATTTATGAAAAGATAAGCAGACTGCGACAGGAGGTGTCAAACAGTTTAGCAAAATTTGTGCGTCAGTCTTTGAGGTTATTACAGGAAACAGAAGCGAAAAATTAAACGACAGATTCTTTATTTGAATGCATGAAACATCTACAATAAGGTAGATGAAATAGTGGCATAAATAGGATATTTTAGATGTAATCACAATTACAGAGACTTGGTTATAAGGATATCAAGGGTGGAAAATAAATATTCCAAGACAGAGAATATTTCCAGGAGATAGACAGAATGGCACAGGAGGAAGTGTAGCACTGATTGTAAAGGATAACATAAGGCACTGAGTTAGATAGGATCTTGACTCAAAAGATCATGAATGTATAATTAACATAGGTAGAAATTATGAAAAGTGAAAGTCAGAAAATACTATTGGGAGTACTTTTGGGCCCTCATTGCAGGAGTCAGAGCAGTATATTTTTGGAGCTTTTAATAAAGGTAATGTGATAATTGTGGAGGATGTTTATCTTCATACAGACCAGGACCATCAAATTGGTGAGAATGCTCCATAAGATGTGTTTGTAGAATGTTTACATGACATTCTCTTGGCACATACATTGTGGAACTGACAAGGGATAAAGCTACCTTAGATTCAGCATGGTGTAATGAAGCCAGATTAATTAGTAATGTCATAGTAAAAGATCTTCTGGGAAACAGTGATCACATTATAATTCATTTTCATGTTAAGAGTAAAATTCTCCAAACATAAACAAGAATTTTAAATTTAAGCAACGCCAATTATGTAGGTATGAGGAGAGAACTGACTAAGGTTAATTGGGTAAATAGCTAAAAGATATGGCTGTAAATGAATATTAGCCTTTATGTTAAAAAATTCAGTGTTCATCAAAATTATATTCTATTGGAGAACAAAAACTCAGCAAGAAAGACTCATCCAAGTCTGACTCAGGATGTTATGGATTATTAGATTAAAAGCTTTTATATGCATATAAAAATGAAGAGAGTAGCTGAAGCAAATGTTGGTCCCTTAGAAGCAGAAACAGGGGAAATTATTGTGGTGAATGGGGAAATGGCAGAGGTCCTGAACAAATATTTTGTGTCAGCACAAAAATTCCAGAAATAGGTGGCAACCAATAACTAAAAAGAATAACAAAATTAATACCAATAGGAAAGAAAGTATTGGAGAATGTATTGTCTAAAATCTAACAAATTCCTGGGCCCTGATTTCTTTCACCCTACAAAAGGATAGTTGCAGAGATGTTGGACGTGCTAGCTATAATTTTCCAAAAAGTCTTAGATTTGGAAACAGTCCCATCAGTATGGAAGTTGATAAATATCATACTGTTTTTCAAGAAAGGAGGGTGAGAGATAACAGGGAACTTCAGGCCAGATAACCTAACATTAAATGTTGGGAAAGTATTGGAATCTATTATTAGGAAGACTTAACAATGTGTTTCGATAAACTTAGTATGATTAGAAGAAATCAAAATGGCTTTACTAAAGATAAATCCTGTTCAACAAACTTTTTGAGTTTTCTGAGTACATAACTAGTAAATAAATACAGGGAGATCAGCCAATATAATATGCCTAGGTTTCCAAAAGACATTTGATGAGGTGCCATGTGAAAGTCTAATAGACAAGATAAGGGCTTGTGGAGTTGGGAGTAATATAAATGCACAGACAGAGGACTCGTCAATAGACACGAAGAAGGGCACGGGAAGAAACAAGGCATTTTCAAGTTGACGCACATTGCATAGTGGAATGTCAAAAACCAAAGCTGTAGCCTCAGCTATATACAATCTACAAAAGGACTTAGCTAAAAGACAGAAATTAATGCATGTATTTGCTGATACATATAATTTGCTGATGATGCAAAGCCGGTAGAACGGTGAGCTGTGGGAAGGACACAAAGAGGCTGCAAAGAGATACAGGCAGGTTTGGTTGGTGGGCAATAAGATGGCAAATGGATTATAAAGTAGGGAAGTGAAAGTATGAAGTTATTCACTTTTGTCACAAAAATAGAAAGGTAGAATTTTTTTAGAGGTGTAAACCTCTCATCACTGATGTTCAAAGAGACTTAGGTATACTTCTGTAGTGACTGCAAAAAGTTTACTTGAGGCACAGGAAGCAATTAGAAAGATAAATGGCATGTTAGCCTTTCCTGCAAATGGATTGGACTACAGGAATGAAGAAGTCTTGTTACAACTGAACCCAGCTTTAGTGAGACCACAAGTGGAGTACTGTGTACAGTTTTGGTCTCCATATTTCAGAAAGGAGGCAGTACAGTAAATGTTCGAGAAATTAGACTCTGGGATAAGAGAGTTGCCCTATAATGAAAGACTGATCAAATTGGATCTATATTCTCTGCAGTTTAGAACAATATCATTGAAACATTCAAGATTTTGAAGGGACTTGAAACAATAGTTGTTGAGAGAATGCTTCCATTAGTCAGAAAATCTCAAACAAGACAAGAAACTCTTCAGAGATGAAGAAGTCAAATTGGGCTCATCATGTTAACTCTGTTTTTCTCTCCACAGGTGCTGTCAGACCTGCTGAGTCTCTTTAATACTTTCTGTTTTGATTATGTGAGAGTCGAATATCTAGACTGCAACGATGAAGTCATTGATAGAGTGGAGTGGTCTGGAATTTGTCAAAGCTGGTCGGAAACCATGTGGAAACAGGTGCTGCTCCAAATTTGAGCCTCAATGCATAACATAATGCACTTCCAAAATTCTGGAACATCTATGTTTTTTCAAAGGAAAGCTGATTTCTATACTATTCTTCCTGATACTGCAACCCCATCAAAATTAATTCAAATTTCCAACTAAGATGTATATCGTTTCTTAACTTTAAAGTGAGGAAGTGTGATTGCTACTTATATTGCTAGGTGGATGATTCAAAGAGTATTATGTGCCACTATGTGCCAAGGCTAATAACCTTTTTGAAAAGTAAGAATGAATGCTGAAGAAGATCAATTCCAATTATTATCAGCTGAGAGCGAAAAGGGAAAAATATTAAAGGCAGTGAATGATGTTGGTTCACGTGCCACAAAGCTGTGTCCCATTCCATTATCCAATTCAAGAAAAACCAGGACAACTTCACCGAAAATAAAGCTGTCACTTAATGCACCAATCTACTTAATAGTGTGAAGCAGTGCTGCAATATGCCTTGGCTGGGAGTACACAATGCTGTCACAAGATATCAGCAGAGGCTTCTTCAATTCTCCAGGACTTTAGTGACCTCAAGTCACACATCTAAGACCCAAATAGGTATTATTTTCTCCAGAATTAAATATGCAGCTCATGACAGATAGTAGCAAAAGAAGATATTTTTTATTAAAAGGTAGAAAGGTGGGTTTGAAGAATGTAAATTATTCAGCCTGGTTTGACTATATTTATTTTAATTTCATGTGTCAAGTAATTTATTTATTCTTGTGTACTGATGCCAAACTGAATTATTAATTCTAACAATTCACTGATCTCTCAAACTTCTCACTGGTTGAAATCCTTGAAATGAAGACTGCTGACTACCAATAAGGCATTCACTATCACTAGTGTGTTGCTGGGACAACTGTCAATAAACATGCAAGCAA